TAACATATGCACCTAACATATGCACCTAACATATGCACCTAACATATAACTTAACATATAACTTAACATATGCGCTTAAGATATCACTTAACGTATCACCTTACATATACACAGCATGCTACATACACACGTTACATAGACACATGAACATATTTTTGGCACTAATGGAACCCCATACCATTTATACATATTTAAGAGCAGATTTGCTGAGTAATATATGCAGATGAAAGTTCTTTGTTTGCACTGAGACATTTCAGATTTGCATATTAATTTAATCTGGACATTTGCTGGAGTAAACTCCTTCAAGCTGTGTCGTTCAATATAGTTCAGCATAACCTTTTACCGTATTTTTTGGAATATAAGGCGCACTTAAAATCCTTTAATTTTCTCAAAAATCAACAGTGAGCCTTATAATCGGATGTGCCTTATGTATTAATTCTGGTTGTGCTTACTGACCTCAAACCGATTTTATGTGGTTATTGTGAATGAGTTGAATAAAGTTTGACTTATCTGTTTTGTTTCGCTTAATGCGCCTTATAGTCTGAAAAATACGGTATGTTTGATTTCATAGTTTGCAACGAGCGCCTTTTAATGAAAAATAAAACCTTCTCTTTTTTGTCTCATTCTCTTTCCCAGCCTACCCATAATTAAGGTATCAAACTTTTAACTTTGTTGTTATTTTTGGTTTTGTTGAGTTTAATGTGGTGATTCTTGTTGCACCGATCTTCCCGTATTATTTATTTATCTGCTTCTTTTTGTTGCTGAACTTTTGATTGAATTTGTTTCTCCTTAAGTTTTCATATAAGTGTCTTTGATTTATATCTACCTCTAAAATTTGTTTGAACCTGAAACCGTTGTAAGTAAAAAGTATGAAGTAGTGTTTTTCGTATTTTCTTTTTAAAACCGTAGTGTGTGTTTAAGTAGTGAGGTCATCTGTCTACTCGTAAAATGGGATATTTACAGTATTTTAAATCACTAGTATTTAATCTAATTTATTCCTGTCATGAAGTCCTACATATTTTTTTGTAGTCTCACAAAACAAATGCCGAATCATTAAATTAGTTTTTAGTTTTGTTAGCCAAAAAAGAGGAATTTCCACAATTTTAATATGTAACTGTTTAGTGTCTGAACAAATATTTGATCAATGAGTAATAATATAAATCTTCTGTCCTGTTTCATTAAAGCTTTGGTTTTGTGCGACCTGCAGGCTTACAGCACATTTAATCAAAGGTGGGGTTGCCACTTTGTTGAAAGCAAATTTTCATTTTTGTCTTTTTGAAGTGTTGTGACTTACAGGCAGGACCATCCTGCTGATTAGTCTGCTGCTATTTATAAATGTCTCTGTGCACACTCGCCCACCAGCTCCATATTTTTGTCTTGCTCCAGCATGTATCCGGCTGGCGGGATCTCTGCAAGCATATATGCCAACAGGCTCCGGGCAGAGGGCATGGGGTCCGTGGACCGAGCTGTACTTTTTGCCAACCAGGACTACGAGGCGCTGAAGCAGGAGTGTGTGGAGTTGGGCCGCCTGTTCGAGGACCCCTGCTTCCCTGCTGAGCCTCCGTCGCTGGGCTTCAAGGAGCTCGCACCCCATTCCTCCAAAACTCAAGATGTGGAGTGGATGAGGCCAACGGTGAGAAAATTTAAAGGAAAAAAAAAAATCTTATTTTGTACGTGCAGACTTAAAATACAGTCTTAAAGCTAAAACTAAGATGACCACTAATTTCACAAGATTGAGGAGTTGGTTTGGACTGCAAGTGATGGCTCGCATGTTCATCTCGTGTAAACAAACATATCAGTGTCTCGTTTCATGGCTGCAAACAGACAGAATAGGACAAGCTGAGCCAGGAACTCTGCAGACCACAGCAGCTGTTGGCATCTCAGACCGCTCCCTCTGCTGCGACATTTGTTTAGAACCATGTCACACAGAAATGAAAGGCCTTGAAGGAATGCACGTTGCCCGCCACCTTTCATATCAGATGAGAAGTGAGAGAGTTGCAGCTGCTTTCGTCAAACCTTGAAAGTAATGTCTTGCTCTGTCTCATGTGGCATCCTAAAACTGTTGTGAAAGGCTCTCAGCTACTACCACACCAAAGTTTAGGTCAAAATCTGTAAAATTGACTGAGTTATAGCCATTTTTGTGTTTTTAAGGACATTTAATTATGGCAGCCATCTTGAATTAGATTAGCCAAAAGTTAAGCAGTTGAAGACGTAGATTCAATGATTACTTTCTGATAGTTTCAATAAAACTCATCCTGTGGACCAAAACATTTTTGACAGCAGATAAAAAGCAAGACAAGAAGTTGTTAGAGCAAAATGCAACAAGTGAAACCTAAGTTGCATGATATCCTGATGCATGCTCAATAATCCAGGTAGAAAAATCCAAAAAAGTTAAGTCTGGTCCTCTGGACATTCAAAAAACCAAACAAAACAAAAAAAGTAGAAACGTTTCGTCGTTCATCCTGACAGACTGAAAAACTTCAGACTGAAGAAGTCTTTCGGATGAAAGACGAAACGTTTCTTCTTTTATTTTGTTTTGTTTTGTTTTTTTGAATGTCCAGAGGACCAGACTTAACTTTTTTGGACTAAGTTGCATGAAATGTGATTTTATTATCGAACTTTATAAATTGAAATAATCTCTTCATCTGCGTTTGATGGCGAGAAAGTACAGTGGCCCTGAGGTGTAGATGAACAACATTTGAAAAATACAGAATTACAAAAAAAACCCCAAGAATTACATTGGAAAAAACTGAATTACGTTAAGCCAAAGCAGAAGTAGCCGGAATCACATTTGGGGGAAAAAAACGGAATCACATTAGAAAGAACAGAATTACATTTGAAAAAAAAAAAAAAAACGGAATTATATTTGAAAAAACAGACTCGCATTAGAAAAAAAAACGGAATTATATTTGAAAAAAACAGACTCGCACTAGAAAAAATACAGAATTATATTTGAAAAAACAGACTCACATTAGAAAAAAAACGGAATTATATTTGAAAAAACAGAATCGCATTAGAAAAAATACAGAATTATATTTGAAAAAACAGACTCACATTAGAAAAAAAACGGAATTATATTTGAAAAAACAGACTCGCATTAGAAAAAAATGGAATTATTTTTGAAAAAACAGACTCGCATTAGAAAAAAATGGAATTATTTTTGAAAAAACAGACTCGCGTTAGAAAAAAAAAACGGAATCACATTTGAACAAAACGGAATCATATTAGAAAGAATGGAATTAGACTTAAAAAATAGAATCTTTCAAAAATTATATAATTTCCGTTTTTTCTGATGCGATTCTGTTTTTACTGATGTTGTTCATTCACACCTTAGGGCCACCGTAAGAAAGCCTAAAGCAATATTTAAACCGTGACAGGTGTGAGAACTAGAGCATCAGTTTTAACCAGAAAACATAAATATTTGTTGTGAACGTTCATCACTCAGAGTTGGACATTTCTCTGCAGGAGCTGACAAGTGACCCCCAGTTTATTGTGGGTGGCGCCACCAGGACAGATATCTGTCAGGGAGCTCTTGGTAAGGCTTTATTTAAAATTTATTGTAAAAATCAGTAGAAACTGAATGTTTGCTGGAGTAATCCCCCCCACCTGCAGGTGACTGCTGGCTCTTAGCAGCCATAGCCTCTTTGACCCTGAACGAGAGGCTCCTTCATCGGGTCGTTCCACATGGCCAGTCCTTCCAAGATGATTATGCTGGAATCTTCCACTTTCAGGTTCTTCATTGTTTTCCACAATATTTCTCCCTTTTAAGCAAATTGCATCAAGGGTTCTTATGATTCTTGCTGTGCGTTGCAGTTCTGGCAGTTTGGCGAGTGGGTAGATGTTGTGATTGATGATCGATTGCCTGTCAAAGACGGGGAGCTCATGTTTGTCCATTCAGCGGAGGGCAATGAATTCTGGAGCGCGCTGCTGGAGAAAGCTTACGCCAAGTGGGTTTTAAAAGTGCCCGTCCGGCTGCTGCATCATCCAGCATACGTCTTAATTAGCGAGATATTTTGAAGAGCAATCAGTGTTAAGTGCATTCTTTGTGCGCTATCAGGCTAAATGGCTCCTATGAGGCTCTGTCCGGAGGAAGCACCACAGAAGGCTTTGAGGACTTCACGGGCGGTGTGTCTGAGATGTACGAGCTACGCAAGGCTCCTCGAGATCTCTACAGGATAATCAGCAAAGCCTTAGAGAGAGGCTCCCTGCTGGGCTGCTCTATCGATGTAAGTGCTGAAAATAAAAGTTGCATTAAAAGAAAACCACTTCAGTTATTAATGCTGAGTTCAGTGCAGTAAATTCTAGTTACACATTCATACAGATCACCAGTGCCTTCGACATGGAGGCTGTGACATTCAAGAAGCTGGTGAAAGGCCACGCCTACTCTGTCACCGGACTGAAGGAGGTCTGTCGTCGTATGAGTCGGTTATCACCGAGCTGTGAAAGCTGGGATTTCAAATTCTCCATCACTATGTTGTTGTGCAGGTTGATTACCGCGGCGACATGGTACGCCTCATCCGAATACGTAACCCTTGGGGACAGGTGGAGTGGACCGGTGCCTGGAGTGACAGGTGAGCGTGTTTCTTTACTTGACTACTTAAGACTTCTTTCAGTAGCTTTTTAGGTTTGGGTTTTTAAGAGGATTATCTCACCTGCTTTGTTTCTTAGTTCCCATGAATGGGAGGAGATCGACCCTTCAGAACGAGAAGACTCTCATCTTAACATGGAGGATGGGGAGTTTTGGTGAGATTTTAGGTTGTAATCGAATTATTACCACTCTTGTGTTTGTTTGCATCGAGCTAGCAGATAAAAGGAACACCAGCAAGGGTTGTCAGGGTTATCATGAGGGCTGTCATCCGGGACATTGTTGAAAAACAACAACAACTGGACTTCTATTCTGTGGATAAAATAGACCCAGTCGTTTACATCAAAGTTCATGCTCAATAATCCAGGTAAAAATCCAGCAAAGTTAAGTCCGGTCCTCTGGACGGTTTCTTTATGAAACGTTTTATCTTTCATCCACAGGACTTCATCAGTCCCATAAGTAGCACACTCACATAGTGGACCAACCAGTTTGCTGGTGATAGGATGGTTTCTGGAGTCCGCCCTCTCCCCTGTCGATTCCTCTGAGGCGACCACAGCCAACGTGGTTCAAAACATCAAAGTTCATGCTCTTTGTGGGATTTTTTTACCTGGATTATTGAGCATGAACTTTGATGTTTTGAACCACTTTGGCCATGGCCGCCTCACAGGAGTCGACAGGAGAGAGGGCGGACTCCAGAAACCATCTTATCACCAGCAAACTGGTTGGTCCACTATGTGAGTGTGCTACTTATGGGATTGAGTTTGTTGTGGCTCTTTGGACTGATGAAGTCCTTTGGATGAAGGATAAAACGTTTCAACAAAAAGAAACGGTCCAGAGGAGCTAACTTAACTTTGTTGGACCCAGTTGGTTAATTTTTTACAAATTTTTCAGTAGAAGGAACAAACTGGTGACAATACTCTTTGTGAAAGTCTGAATCTGCCAGCTCGTTTTTATTACCTGCTGCCCAAAAGCGAAGGCAAAAGATGTTTTTGCATGTGTTTGCATGTTGGGTTCATGTGTCTTTTAATACTTCATGAACAAGTAGATGGATTTCAACTAAACTTTCAGAAAGTAAAGATGGACATCTACAAGGGGTTATCTTTTGGAGTCAACTTGATTCAGAATGGCCACCATAATCAAGTACTTAAGACTTCAAACTGGCTATAACTTCATTTTACAGAACGGAGCTAAAATTAGGTTTCAGAGCAGGAGAGTCAAACTCATCCTTCTAATGCTAACTGATGGCTCAAGATCTTTGTTTAAAACTTTGTGATTGCTACTGGAGTCGACTGTTCCTTTCAGGAACTCGGTCTTTTAAGTTTTAATTCTAGCTCGATGCAGAATTTCAGATGCTCAAATTGGGTTTAAATTTTTCCACAACAATATCACAACTCTTTCTTTGTTTTTAAAGACGTCTAGAACCCCGTGGAAAATATAACCCCAACGTTTAAAAAAAAAAAAGAAAAGTGGTTGTTAAAAAGAAAACGAGCCAATGCTTTTAAAGAAAAAACTAAACCCGTCTTCTGATGAACGTCACATTTTGCTTCCAGGATGTCGTTCAGTGATTTCTTGAGGCAGTTTTCTCGACTGGAGATCTGTAACCTGACTCCAGACGCTCTGAGCGATGACGGCCTCAGCCACTGGAACACCATAAAGTTCTACGGGATGTGGAGGAGAGGCAGCACCGCTGGCGGCTGCAGGAACCATCCCAGTGAGTGCAAATCCCACAAACACAACGAGCATACATTTTAAAAGCACTCACTAGTGTACACACTGAAAAACCATTTATATTTAAAGATACTGATGTTTTACAAAACAGGCCTGTCATATAGATACTGTTTTGTGTAGACACGTTTTGGATAAACCCTCAGTATAAGATCACTTTGTTGGAAGAGGACGACGACCCCGAGGACGATGAGGTGGCGTGCAGTTTTTTAGTGGCCCTCATGCAGAAGGACCGCCGCAGATACCGGCACCACGGTCAGGACATGCACACAATTGGTTTTGCTCTTTATGAGGTAAGAGCGCAGATAGAAAATCTGAGTCTTCCTTTGCCCCATCTTATATTTTACATTTAAATGTTGCCTATTGTCATTAATTAACGTTTTTTTTTTCTTATCGTCTTTTGCAGATTCCAGAAGAGGTAAGCCGAACTTGAGTTTTTATTACAGAACAATCTTACAAACGCGATTAATCTGATTTACTCAAAATAGTAGTTTATTTCTCATATAGTTGTGCATCATATGCTAAAGATGGGAAAATGAATTGAAACCAGGAAGTATAACAAACAAAAAAAAAACAGTTCATATCAGATGAAATGGTTCCTGTATACACTGATTTAGAGCTTTGAGAGGAAATTAAGTCCTGTTTAATTATAGAAAGAATTATGAGTCCAAATCTAAAGTTTAAGTTTCTTGAACACATCTTTAACCACACAATAAAAAAAAATCATTACCATATTTTTCGGACTATAAGGCACACCGGATTTTAAGGCTCACTGTTGATTTTTGAGAAAATTTAAGGATTTTAAGTGTGCCTTATAGTCTGAAAAATACAGCAAGTTTTAAAATACATTTTTGAAATGATTGGTAATAACACTCTCATTATCTTAAATTAATTTCTGTTGTCCTGCTGCCCTCAGTACAGAGGTTGCCAAAATGTCCATCTGAAGAAAAATTTCTTCTTGAGTCATTCGTCGTGCGCTCGATCGGAGACTTTCATTAACCTGCGGGAGGTGAGCACGCGGCTGCGCCTGCCCCCCGGAGAATACCTCATCGTGCCCTCCACCTTCGAGCCCGGCAAAGAGGCTGACTTTGTTCTCAGGGTCTTCACTGAAAAGATGTCGGAGACCGAGTGCGTGTTTCTCATATCCGTCAGTTCATCGCCTTTTAATCACTTTATTATATACAGGAATGAAAATTTATGTTTTTTTTTTAATTTCAGAGAACTGGATGATGAAGTGTCTGCTGACTTTGGAGAGGAGGTGTGCATCTGCATCATCAAAGGAATTTTATTCTTCAGTTTAAACTGCAAGTTTCTGATTTAAAGTGCTGCCTTTTATACTGTGTTTCCACAGGAGGAAATAACTGAGGATGACATTGATGACTCCTTTAAAACTTTGTTTGCTCAACTAGCGGGAGAGGTAGGACTCTTGTTTTTCTTTTTTTTTTTACCAACTGACACCTTGTTTGTGTGTTCACCTGCATGTAGAGTTGCAGTTATACAGACACGATGGTTGTGTTAGCAGATGAGCATCTTCTTCAACAGTTACTCTGAGCACTAACTCATCTTATGACGTCTCATTAAATCACGTAAAGTTGTGCATATACCGTAATTTCCGGTCTATAGAATGCACCCGAGTATAAGCCGCACATACTAATTTTAAAATAAAACACAATTTTGTACATAAATAAGCTGCACTGGTGTATAAGCCATGGATATCCACATTGTGATATCAGAAACGATACACAGCTCAATGTCAGCAGGTGTCTGAACTCCTGCTACATTTCAGACATAATAAATAAAAAAAGCTTACTGTAAAAAATAAATTAAAAATACAAAGATAGAAATGTTTGACGTGTTATTCACATTATACGTCACGTTTCAAAACAACAGCGCTATTTTGTCAAAATAACAGCAGCGATCAAAATGTCAAACAGACGGTCCAATTTACTTTAATAAAAAAATGGATGGATGATGGATGGATGGATTGTCCTTGCTTCAAACAGTGCCATGAGACTGAAGTAGATGGACTGAAGAGTTCAGCTTGAACCGTGAAGTGAGGGGGGGGGGGGAGGTTAGGACACCTGACAGAATTGGAGCTGCTCACACACAACTTGCTGTTCCTCTCAAATAGTAATTTTATTAAGTGTTTACAAATTTAGGTAAATGTTGATGTACAGGTCCTTCTCAAAAAATTAGCATATTGTGATAAAGGTCATTATTTTCCATAATGTAATGATAAAAATGAAACTTTCATATATTTCAGATTCATTGCACACCAACTGAAATATTTCAGGTCTTTAATTGTTTTAATAATGATGATTATGGCATACAGCTCATGAAAACCCAAAATGCCTGTCTCAAAAAATTAGCATATCATGAAAAGGTTCTCTAAACAAGCTATTAACCTAACCATCTGAATCAACAACGTAACTCTAAACACCTGCAAAAGATTCCTGAGGCTTTTAAAAACTCCCAGCCTTGTTCATTACTCAAAACCGCAATCATGGGTAAGTCTACCGACCTGACTGCTGTCCAGAAGGCCATCATTGACACCCTCAAGCAAGAGGGTAAGACACAGAAAGAAATTGCTGAACGAATAGGTTGTTCCCAGAGTGCTGTATCAAGGCACCTCAGTGGGAAGTCTGTGGGAAGGGAAAAGTGTGGCAGAAAACGCTGCACAACGAGAAGAGGTGACCGGACCCCGAGGAGGATTGTGGAGAAGGGCCGATTCCAGACCTTGGGGGACCTGCGGAAGCAGTGGACTGAGTCTGGAGTAGAAACATCCAGAGCCACCGTGCACAGGTGTGTGCAGAAAATGGGCTACAGGTGCCGCATTCCCCAGGTCAAGCCACTTTTGAACAAGAGACTGCGTCAGAAGCGCCTGACCTGGGACTGCTGCTGAGTGGTCCAAAGTTATGTTCTCTGATTACAGTAAATTTTGCATTTCCTTTGGAAATCAAGGTCCCAGAGTCTGGAGGAAGAGAGGAGACACAGAATTCACATTGCTTGAGGTCCAGTGTCAAGTTTCTACAGTCACTGGGGTGCCATGTCATCTGCTGGTGTTGGTCCACTGTGTTTTATCAAGGGCAGGGTCAATGCAGCTATCAGGAGATTTTGGAGCACTTCATGCTTCCATCTGCTGAAGAGCTTTATGGAGATGAAGATTTCATTTTTCAGCACGACCTGGCACCTGCTCACAGTGCCAAAACCACTGGTAAATGGTTTACTGACCATGGTATTACTGTGCTCAATTGGCCTGCCAACTCTCCTGACCTGAACCCCATAGAGAACCTGTGGGATATTGTGAAGAGAAAGTTGAGAGACGCAAGACCCAACACTCTGGATGAGCTTAAGGCCGCTATCGAAGCATCCTGTGCCTCCATAACACCTCAGCAGTGCCACAGGCTGATTGCCTCCATGCCACGCCGCATTGAAGCAGTCATTCATGCAAAAGGATTCCCGACCAAGTATTGAGTGCATAACTGAACATGATTATTTGAAGGTTGGCGTTTTTTGTATTAAAAACACTTGTCTTTCATTGGTGGGATGAAATATGCTAATTTTTTGGGACAGGCATTTTGGGTTTTCATGAGCTGTATGCCATAATCATCAGTATTAAAACAATTAAAGACCTGAAATATATCAGTTGGTGTGCAATGAATCTGAAATATATGAAAGTTTCATTTTTATCATTACATTATGGAAAATAATGACCTTTATCACAATATGCTAATTTTTTGAGAAGGACCTGTATAACAACCCGTTAAAATCCACCAAAATGCAGGAAATGGCATCTCTGTTATTCAAAATTTTCTGAGAGGACCCACGGACCCCCCCCCCCCCTGGCCTGCCTGCTGTTCTGGCATCAATCAGTTTACAAATTAAGCCCTGACTATAATTATTGGAATAAAAATACATAAGTTGGCCACGCCTGTGTATAAGATGCAGTTTTCAAAGCGTGTGGGGGGAAAAAAATAGCAGCTTATACACCAGCAATTACGGTAATCATTTCCAAGGTTTGACCAGAATGGCTTCAACTGTCACCTCTTGAGTAAAACCAACTTGGTCTAAAACTTACATTAAAAGGCTGCAGATGATATGCATTCCTTAAAAAAAAAAAAAAAAAAAAGTATTTGTGTTGTTGCTCAATAAAGATGCCAAGCATGTAAATGTTTATCGTTTCAACGGTGTGGATAATGGTAGTATTTACGATTTAATGGTTTTCAGGTCCCAGTTATCACCCTACAGAACAAAAATTTATTTTTTTAAATAATATGAAATGAATAATAGTGGTATAACAATATTTGCGTACATGTTGTGTCTTTACAGGACATGGAGATTTCTATTCGCGAGCTCAGGACGATTTTAAACCGAGTTGTCTCCAGGCGTGAGTGATGTTTCTTTTTAATACACTCCAGGCTGCCAAAGATATTAGTAATATTATCTGAGTGTTGCTCAGACTAATACTTGTATTTTTACGTTTTAGACAAAGATATAAAGACTGACGGCTTCAGTACGGAGTCATGTAGGACAATGGTCAACCTGATGGATGTATCCTGTTTATTTATCTCACTCCATTCTGGATTTTTAAAGTTGCTAAATATAAAATGTGTTGGGTTCTGCCATTGGATGAAGCCTCTGAGAGGAGCTTGTGTGGAAGTGTCTGCGAGACACTGAACCTCCCCGCTTTAGTTGCTGTTGTCTGTGTGAAAATATAAAGGTGCTGTACATACAATTCAATTCAGTTTATTTATACATCACCAGTTCACAGCAAAGTTGTCTCATAAAGTTAACTATAAAGGTTTCCTACCCTGATAGTTTTATAAACATCGCTGTGCTGCAATTGTGTACAAGTGTAATTTGAGTCCTTGACACACTGTTGGCCAGAAAGACGGCAGTGCACATTTAGGACTGGTGGAGTTTCAGATCCTCTGGAACAAAATCCGAAAGTGGCTGGTAAGACCGGAGTTAATGACTCTCCTAAACTCTCAGCATTTCCATTTGTAATATTTTCATTTTTCAGGGCATTTTTAGGGAATTTGATCTTGACAAGTCAGGGGCCATGAGCTCATATGAGATGCGTCTTGCTGTGGAGGCAGCAGGTATGATGTCCAAGAGTACCGTCACCGTGCTGATGTTTTTACAAGCAGCATGAAAACTGATTTCCAGTTTTAAACTTTTCTCGTGTCTCTGTTTAGGCTTTAAACTGAACAATAAACTGAACCAGGTTCTGGTGGCTCGGTACGCAGAGAACGAAATGATTGACTTTGACAACTTCATCTGCTGCTTGGTGAAGCTTGAAGCCATGTTTAGTGAGTAATCCCACTTTAGATGTTAAAATATATTGTTCAGATCTTATTAGGTTAGTTCGGTCCACACAACTTTTACTTTGGATTTCGTAGGATCTTTCCAGCAATTTGACAAAGAGGGATCAGGAATGGCTGAGATGAATCTCACAGAGGTGACGTTAAAGAAAATCTCATTAACGCGATTATAATTTTTCTGCTGTCTAACTGTATTCCTCCTTTTGTCCAGTGGCTTTATCTGACCATGTGCGGTTGAGGAGGCTCGTCTCTGCTGGAGGACGTGTAAACGTGCTGTGCCTGAAAACGCCTTTTTCCTCTTACCTCAACGCAAAAGTATCATTGGAGCTGCATAACTGGAAATCAAAGCCCCACAGAACTAACCGTTTCCATATTTTAGAAGCTATGCAAACTCATAAAAAAGAGAAAACAAGTACCGTGACACAAATCTGTCACAGTTAAAGAATCATATATTTGTGCATGACAAAAACCAAGTTGGAATGTGCATCACACGTTCAAACATTTAGTTTTTACTTTGCTGTCATTAAATATTAATATAAATTAACACTTTAGTATCACGAAGTGCTTGTAGGTTTTACTTTTTCTATTGTGCCTTTTAATCATATGGTAATAGTTCCGATCTTATCAGTTTTGAATGAGTATTTACGCACGTGCGCCTCAAGATGGCAGTACAGAAGCATCTAGTTAACTTTTTGTTTTATACTCGAGTTAAATCAGATCAGTGTTGCGTTTTTCTAGCTGAAGTGAAGGAACTAACACTTTTATTACTTTGCACTGAAACTTGTTTATTTTAATATGAAGAAAACTGACTGCTGCATTTTCTTCATTAATGACTAAATGAAATTGTATTAATAATTTAAAAAATATGTTAAATGTAAAACAAATGCCTCATCGATGGCAGTTCAATGCCTGTTTGTCTTGTGACTGTATGTTGTGCCTTCAATAAATCTGTTCCCTAAAGGGTTTATTCTTGTATTTGCACTAATTATGTGCCCCTCTATCCATGACAACATTGGGGAACTTGACCATATCAAATGTTCAAACCAAGAAACTTTCCCATTTAAAAACATGATTTATTAATTGATGTCCGCTGTAAAAGTAAATGCTATGAATAAGAAACAGCCTGACGAACATTCTGCTCTGTTAGCATTGGGTTAGTAAGAGGACTGGGTCCAGAGGCTCAAATCAGACGTAACAATGGACAGAGGATTCAGATTCAAAGAAGATTCAGTCTCTAAAATGTACTTTTTATCCCCAGTCCTCTTGTAGATCTGTTACCAGTAAACCTAAGTGGTTGCAAAATGTTTATCCAGCTGTTTGCCACTGTCTCGACCTTTACGCTGCTGTCATCAAATTCAATCCACTTCATTAAAACTTGTAGCTTCTTCGTTTAAACCTTTCTTTACAATGTTACTTGGGTTTAAGACATTTGCATTCTAGTTCTGTTTACATTTAACACAACACCCCAACTTTTCATCGTCGAGGTTATACTTTACATATATTTGGAAACAAAATAAATGACTGCAACATACTTTTTCAGCTTTATTGAACACGATGTAGGTGTAACACGGATGAATGACGCATTCAGACAAATGAACTTGCAATTGCCAGGACTTTTGAGTAATCTCCCTCCCTACTACGTAAATGTGAGGGTATAGGGATCTTAATCCTGGTTCCAGTGGGGTTGCCGTTTTCCTCAATCAGAACAACATTGTTCGAATCAAAGCGTGGAGTCATACGATCTCCAGGCATTTTATGTCCAACGATGAGCGCTTTCTTCTTCTGCCCTTTAATGGCAAGTAGGACTTTGTCACCAACTTTTCCAATGCCATTCTTGTTGTAGACATGGATCACTCTTGGTGGACGATGATATGGTGTGTTCCCAAGAGAACTGTTGTCCACAACACGCACTCTTGTCATCTTTTGAATGGCAGCTGCAACAGTAGATACACTGACGAGATAAAAAGTAAATTAGTATTAAACTTGCAGGATTGTAGTTATAGGTACAATAAAGTGTTCCAACTAGGGACTCCTTGCCCTGGAGGACCTCAGTGCCCACACGGGAAACGACAGTGTGACCTGGAGAGGTGCGATTTGGAGGAACGGTCTCTTTGATCCGAACCCGAGCAGGGTTCTGTTGTTCGACTTCTGCGTTAGTCATGGTTTGTCCACGAAGACCATGTTCCAACAAAAAGGTGCACATAGCATCAGGACACCGTAGGTTGCGGATCAGTGCTAGGCTTTCCAGTAACGTCATCTGAAATACTGTAATAAATTTTATCTGCACAGTGTTTTTATATCAATAACGAAGTGTTCTTAATTTAATTTGTAAGCAAATTTGCGACCAGATGCCAAATACTTTGTGTCTGTTTACCTACAGAATGAGACTGAAAATAGGTTAGCAGTTTGCAAAAACTGTGCATGTTTGAATGCTGAGCTGTCTTTATGGCACCATCCTGCCATACTTATTTTTGACAGTTGTCTTACTCTTTCTCTTTTCTTTTGCAATTAGCAGGAGGTTTACGCTTCACCTAAACATGTACTTTGTGATTCTATGCTTGCCTAATACAGATCTCTCTTGTAAATGAGTCCTTGTGGCTCAATGAGACTAACCTGTATAAATAAAGATTGAATAAAAAAAAATACTGCCGTGTTTGTTTTCCTGCACTTACTACTGCTAGTCTAATGTAGGTTAATCACGTGACTCAAGTTTCCATGTGGTTTTCAGCTGATTCAGCAGTTTTATTTATATTGAGTGTGAACCTGCATTTAAATTTTTTTCAGAAAACAACTGAAGTCTACTAAAAACTACTCTTTCAAACTAAACCATTTTCAGGACTTACATCCTAATATACTGTTGCTTTTACACTGTATTTTTGCTATTTTGGGGTTTAACTGGGACCCCGAGTACATCATTTCGATCCACCTCATACCACGTGATATGAATGACAGTAAAATTGACTTGGACTTGACACACATTTTTAGGTTTGATTTCATATTTTGTTATGAGTATATTTAAGATCCTTAGGTAATGTAAATTTAACAAAGAAGAAATAAAAAATAAAAAAGTCACCCTAGGGTCTTTACATGCAGGCTGCTTTCTAATGCTAAATCAAAAAGCTATCTTTTAATATGATTGTTTTGAACTATTAAATATATTAGTAATGAACAGAAAAGTCACTGAAGTTGTGAAAAAATATCTTGACTTCAAAGAACAGTACTTTTTAAAAACCCATTTATTATAATGGAGCATTTTCCCCTAAGGTCATGTAATAAAAATATACATGCTACAACACTTTTGAAAAGTGACACAAGATACATTTTTGTGTATTTAAAATCTGTTAAGTGCACACGAACAAAAATAAAACGGCTATGAAGAGAAAATCGCAACGTTTGCAAACCTTAAATTGTTTCCTTTCATAATAATCCAGGCTATTTTTTATTCTGTTCCTTTTCTATGCTAGAAGAACAGCTTCTTGCTTTTTAACATTTTCTTACCTAAAGGGTCTATGAAGGATTGTTGACGATGTCCAAACGAAGAGCCCTGGGAAGGATCTTGAAAGCCGGGAGAGAGCCATAACTACAGCAAAACAGTTAGCGGCTAGCATTAGCTAACATCACATGAAGGCCAGGTGAGCAAACATATGCCTATCTGCATATAACATGCAGAGAAAAAAATACATAATTTTAGAACCTAAAACTATACGAATACACTAAAAGGTAAATATAAATACGTTAAGTCTAAAATAAAATTAAAAAAAGACGCTAGTTACCTTATTAGCAAACTCGATGCCAATGTCATGAGAATTGCGTCATCAGTAAGCGACTTAATGCTGTCATATGAGCGGACAGTTTTGCTTGTTATAATTTAATGGCACTTATTTTAAATAACAACTTGTTGTAAATTATAACAATTTATGTACTCAATATCACAAGTATAAAAACAAATAAAAAAAAATAGCAGAAGATTTTTGTTAGTTTTCGTAGTGCGTCAACACGGCGCGCAGGGAACATAGAACTAGAGTAATACAGAAAACACCTTGCCTAGACTTCTAGACATTTCTATCAATTAAAAATTGCATACGCTCTCTATCTGCTCTATTTCTGGAACCGCTCGCCCTAAACCGTATCTCGACGCTCCAAACCTGCAGTTGCTTGGACTGGTTGTGTCAGCGATAGTTGTTTAACCGGCTGACAGATAGGCAGCGCGGATATGTTTATAATTACTAACCACTAGTACAACAGCTTAACTAACTATTTCTCTTCGCGTTTTATAGCCGGAAGTCGTCGGAATCAAATCATCCGACAGTTGTCAGATAGCTTCAACCTGTTATTCCGCGGCTATGTTAGCAGACGTCACGGTTGATTGCTAGCTCGTATTAGCACGGGGTGACAGCTTCGACTTCTGCGTATCACAGTGAGGTAAGTGGGTTTTGTTGTGTATGGACAGAGGAATTAGCGATATCTCACGACAAACCAGTAACGTTCTGTGGAGCAGCGCCAAGCTTGTCTGCTTCGTCGTTAATGAACCCAGCGCTGTCAGAACAATCAACTATAAACGCAGCCCTTTAGCTTGAAGCTAACTGATCCGAATGTTGCGTGGACAGTTTGTTCTTCTCATTAATAAACTTGTCATTATCGACTAGAAGGATTTATTGTGTTATTATTAAGGTATTATCAAAAACTAATGTGGTGTGAACGTAAGAACATTTGATCAATTATTAAAGATTTCTGCTAATCGCACCCAGAAATCTTGATCTGTCAGATCAGATTTTTTTTTTTTTTTTTTTTTTTTTAAGATTTCTAGCAAAACCAGTATTTTTCAGAATATCTCATAAACTTACATGTATATGTTGAAGGTAATTTGTGCAATAATACATAAAGCAGGTGTAGTTTAAAAACTATGCATGCAGATAAGCAGTTGATGATGTTATTTTTTCCAGCTGTTTGGGGAATTTTCCTGACAATTTATACTAAACTATGTTAAGATTTACTGACTTTATCATCGATAATTTACTTGTCAAAGCTTGGCAGTGGTAGTTAAAGCTCTTAAGCTCTTTTCTGCTTGTGCAGAGCCTATACAAAGGCACATATGAAGAGATTATTGTTGCTGTGACTGTCTTTGTATTTTGTTCATCTAGTGAAATATTAAAGTAGTAGTCTCTAATGGACATAGTTAAACTTTTAAGCAAAACTCATAGGTACTTTATATCCTAAAAAACTTCTATTCTCTCCCGTATTTCTATTTTTGCACTGTTCTTTCTCGTAAATATGTTATAAAAGTACTCTAAACTTTACATTAATGGAGCTGCAACCACACAGCAAAATTCAAAAATTTATATTACAGCCGTTTGTGTTTTAAAAATATTTTTTTTGTTTAATTTCACAAGATGAATAGAGAAAATTGTTTCAAAACAATATTTACATATGATCTTAAAGTACTTAGATTAAATAGAGCCGTTGAACTTTATGGATGGAAATATGATGGGCCAGGCTCCTTCCTAATAGGACGTGTATTTATTTATTTTTTAGTTTTACTGATAAGTTTTTAATGACCTGAATAGTGGAAATTTAATTAGAAACATTTAAGATACTGTTAGTATTTTGTCTTGGCCAAAAAGTCACATGTTTTGATGATTGCATAGATTTTTGTTGTGGCATCCTTTCAACATCAAATTTATTTCTGTCCAAAGTTATTTTCATTTTTTTCTTTTGAGTGAGTACAGTCTTCTTCAGTACATCTCAAAAGGTTTTTAATCTAGATTTAGAATCAGTTCATGTGTAAAAACGATATCTTCTGCTTCTTAAACCACCGTTTCACAAATTAGCCAAATGAATCTTGCCTTTGTCATAATGGAACATGCTCCCGGCATCATAAAAGAGGGGAAATATATATATATATATATATATAGTTGAAATGCTGCAATCATTCTGTACATTCAGCTGACCTTAGTTTTTGAGCATGTGACAGTACTGAACTCGGACCAAATAGGTGTCAGAAATAAAGACTTTAGTTATTATTTTGAGGCGGAAGTGAAACATTTTATCACATAGTTGGTTGTATTTGCTTATACCATCATGGTAGCAAACAAAGCAAAATGTCCTTTATTGAAGTTCATGTTCAGTTTTTGAGTAAATTGTCTGTAAAAACCTTCACTTGCTCATTGATTATTTATATTTTTTCCAGGTAATGTCTCAGACAGAATATCTAAACAACATACAAACGTCATTTATATATCAAGCGGAAGTATTGAACGCTAATGCCTGATAATGTTTGATTTAAATATGATTGATTTTTGTAAAATAAGTCAAACTGCTAAACAACTAACCTTAAATGAAAATGTAACGGTCATCCTTAAGGTCTGCCAGTTCTCTGCGTTTAGATCCTGCTAAAGTAGTGGCATTTTAATTTACAAATATAACCACAAAACAACATTTATTCAGTAGCGTGTTTTTATTTAATTCTTAAATCATAACAATGTAAGTTTCAATTTTCTTTTTTGACAAATCTTTGATTTTATACCTAACGTTTATCAAAATTCTCCATGAAAGTATATTGAAAATATGCTTTGAATCTTTGAAATGCTTATTAAAATATAGTTTCAATGAGCTGGCACTTAATCATTAGTAAGTGAGAGAGGGAAAAAACAACTTGTTATTAAAACAAAACGAAAATTAGTTAATTAGTTTTGTTTTTTTTAATGTGTCTAGATTTGCAGTGACGTAAAACTGTTGATAATGGGCTTAATAGACTACATTTTGTTTATAAAATAATATTTGGTAAATACTGTGAAGTGATTTGCACATTATGGAATAGAGTCTAAACCAATAAAACTTTAGGTTTTAAAGTTTTTTTTGTGCAGCTTTCATAACAAGTAAACATGAACTTAAATGTGCATCGGACAGTTTTCTCCAGCCTTTTTTGTCTTTATTGTAGCAACAGTGTTTTGTGTACAGTCAACCCTCTGACCCACGTTCAAACAGGCAATGTGCGTTATGGAAATTTATATGTGAAACATGTTTTTCCTTTAAAACAAAACAAACAAAGGAAATAAAATAAAATATTGTGCACAAATCTTACAATCACAGCCATTTTAGCATAAGAGAAGCAATAGTCCAACCTTGTAGCGTTGCTAGAAGCACTAGGTGTTGAAATATTAATGAAACAATGAATAATAAACGCAACAAACAGTTTCCATAAGACATCATCTCTATTGAGTTGCAGCTGCAGCTCCTGTTTGGACGGAGAATCCCCTTCTAATATGATTTCTGGGAAGTCATCAAGGGTAAACACCCCCCTTGCACCGGGTTCACATGCACAACCTCACATGTTGGCAGCACTGGAACCACTCATGTTGCTTTTTGCAAGACTGGCTTCCCTCACGTTGAACAAGAAATGGGTCTTTTGACATTTGCTTCAGAATTTCATCAAAATGTTCCATAATGTTGTCGTCGTACGGATTTGCTTTGCGTGTTTTAAACTGATACTTAAGTTGACCACTTGTAATCATCTGATCTTGGCTACATGGCAGTCGGCCATGGCCGTACGTGATTAATTATCAAGAATGAAACTGAAGATGCGTTAGCAGCTGATACAACCAGATATCTGCAGCCTACAATTTTTAGATTTTTTTTTTTAAGGGGGGATGTCAACTATACATTTATTTAAGCAATTATCGTTATATTTTGTGAAGTGAAAATGCATATAGACAAAAAAAAAATCAATGTTGGATATCATCTTTCGGTTACTCTTGATTTTTAAAGATTTGTAACATCTGTTTTAAAAACTCATCGGTCAACCTCATGTGAGTCAACAGCTTTCTGTGGGGGATTTTGCACATTTCCCCCATATTGTGCACACCTCTTTGATGGTGGATTGGAGATGGAGATTATATCTATTCATGCAGCCTTCTAATCTTATAAATAGTGTTGTGGTGATTATTGTATATTTAAATGGGAAAGGTGAAAAGTTGCATAAAACGCTGCACTTTATGTGCACGTCAAAGCCTTAAGAGTAACCAAATAAATATTCTGCAGTTGTAGTTTCTCTTATTTTTGAGTTGAGCAGTTAAGCCAGTTCAGCTCAGCTGAAATTGTTTTTTAGTGTACTGTACCCTTCTGGCTGACATAAGCCACTTCAAGACTTGAACTCTAGATTCAAGGCATGATGAGAAATGTAATAATAATAATAATAATACAACAGTTTTCAGTCAGGTCATCTGGACAGTTTCTTTTTTTGTGTGCTGAAACATTTCACCTTCCATCCAGAAGGCTTCATCAGCCAAGGAAACACACAACACAAAACTGATTCTTCCCCCAACAGCTTACTCCAAAGTGGAACAAACCAGTTATGTTGGTGCTAAGATAGTCTCTTTGGCACGCCCCCTCCTCCGGTGCCGTCCCTCTTCCTCGTCGACAGTCATGTCAAACTAGTTCAAAACCAACAAAGTCCATGCTCAATACTCCAGGTATACAATCCAACAATTTTCAGTCAGATCATCTGGACAGTTTCTTTTTTTTTGTGCTGAAAATTGTTGGATTGTATACCTGGATTATTGAGCATGAACTTTGTTAATAATAATCATAATAATAATAATACATTTTATTTGTATAGCGCTTTTCTAAATACTCCAAAGACACATTACATGAGTTAAAAGAATATATGAAATCAAAAATGCATAACCCATAAAAACACAGTAAAACATTTAAAAAGGGCAAATTTAAACATTTAAAGCAATTTTAAACAAGTGGGTTTTGAGTTGTTTTTTAAAAGTGGAGAGATCGGAGCAGACACGAAGCTGTTGGGGCAGTGAGTTCCAGAGGGTGGGGGCGGTGATGGAGAAGGCTCTGTCTCCCCAGGTTTGGAGTTTGGTCCTATAGGGGAGAGACAGAAGGTTGGCATCAGAAGAGCGGAGTGAACGAGAAGGAGCGTAGTGATGGAGGAGGTTGGTCAGGTATGGAGGGGCCAGATTATGGAGGGCTTTGAATGTGATAAGGAGGATCTTGAAATGGATGCGCTGAGTGACGGGGAGCCAATGGAGTTTCTGCGGGACAGGAGTGATATGTTCACGGGAGCGGGTGTGGGTGAGAAGGCGGGCAGCAGAGTTTTGTACATATTGCAGTTTGTTGAGAGTTTTGGATGGTGTACTGTACAAAAGGCTATTGCAATAGTCTATTCTGGATATGACAAAGGTGTGGATTAGGATTTCAGCAATGGAGAAAGTGAGTGATGGGCGGAGTCGTGCTATGTTTTTGAAATGAAAGAATGCAGTCCGAGTTATCTGTTTGATGTGTGATTCGAATGAAAGAGTGGAGTTGTGAAGAATACCAAGATTACAAATGAGTGGGGATGGAGTGAGAGTGATGTTGTCAAAGTTGAGGCAGACGTTTTTAGTGGACTAGGTAGCACTGTTTGGACCAATGAGGAGTATGTCAGTTTTGTCTATTTAATTTGAGAAAATTGTGCTTCATCCAGATTTTGATGTCAGTTAAGCAATGGGTGTGTGTGGAGTGGATATTGGTTGGTTTTTTTTGGATGTAGTAGAAAATGTAAATCTGTATGTCATCAGCATAGCAGTGAAAATGGAGGCCATGACGACAGATAATATTACATTACTTTACATCCTCCCCCTTACATTACCAAGGGGGAGGATGTGAAGGATGAAAAGGAGAGGACCAAGCACTGAACCTTGGGGAACACCCTGGGATAGAGGGGTTATGGAGGAGGAGCAGCAGTTGATGCGAATAAACTATTGCCGGTCTGTGAGGTAGGACTGAAACCAGGACCAGGATTAAAAAAAAAAAAAAAACCGATGCAAGCGTCGGGTTACAAAGGCATCACGTAATTTGTGTTTTATGGATTTCTTGTTGAGAAAACAAGTCAGCGTTGCTTTGCAGCTGTTAAATAACTGAAGACTACCTCAGATTCTTGCATTGAACGATAAAGCTTGTTCAAATATTTAGCTTATGACAATTTAAAGGATTGGCTCACTCAGAAACTGAAAACAAGAAAAGATAAGGATCTGTATGAAAGCGAAAGAGAAAGATGACGAAAAGCGCCGGTTGAGCTGATACATGACTGAACGAGGAAAATGTCTGTCGATCATTTAAAGAACTAAAACAGAAACAGTTGGCTTCTTTAACAGAACAGTGACTCGGAATTCTTCTCATGATCCATCATGACCTTCGTAACACTTCTTTTTAAAACGTCGCTGTCTCCTAACCTGAGCATCAACGGATAATTGTAGCAGACTTTATTTTTACTGTGGATTTCTTTGAACGCATATTGATCCATTAAGAAGTGTTTGTAAAAAATCATGAAATTGAAAAACCTCTTTTAACCTTTTTTGTTTTATTTTAAAACAAAAATAAAATGCGGCCATACATCACAAATGCTTAATTGTGTGACCTGCGCTGGCAAAATGAGTCACAGTAATGCATTTTTCAATATTTAGTTCATTTATTTTTAAATTCTCCATCCCAAAAGCTTCAAAATGATATCTAGTTAGTGTAAATTTGGTGATTTATCACTTAGCAACAAGCTAATTTTGTTTGAGTGCCAGTTTGAAAACTCAATTTTTATTTTTCTAAAATGATGGCATCAGGAATTCCAGCCCTGTATTTTAAAATGAGAGGGCCTAAACTTCATAATGAAACCAAACATTATAGGAAGGGATTTCCCCAATTGTACAGAAGCTAGCAAAGAAAAATGGTAAATTTCAGAGGAAATTAAAAGGGACTAAATTCAAATAATATTTCTGAAGACGTATGTGTTAGACAAGTTCAATTTAAAGGTACAGTCGAAGAATACATGTTATTACTGGGATCACTAGATGGTGTCTTTATGGACTCAAATTTATGCAAGTCTCAGTTACAGCAAAAATCTGTACTTTGATTTATTCTGCACTTCAGTTCCTACTCGTGTTGCCAGCACGGGTCTCATTGGTTTTTAAAGATAACCAGACTTTTGAATTTGATCTTTCCAAGTCTCTTAAAAATGTTCTTGAGCAGGGAGGATAAAATTAGTTGCAGACTTGTTGCTGTCAAGTCCTCAGTGTTGTTGAAGGGACAGGGGGCCATGTTGTGTCCTTTTTGGGTTGAGACCGGTCCATTTGAACCCTGTGGTCTCTATCAGTTTATTGTTCGGCTCTGGCTGCGTCTCTCCAGTGATATCACAGCATTCCAGAGAGTGGATAAATGACTTAGTGTTAGGGCAGATGAGCAGCATTGTGGATGCGGCTGAGAGTTGTGGGTAGAAGGACACAAGTGTGGCTGTGGAATTGAATTTTATTTATTTATTTATTTTTAGTCATCGGCTGTCAGCAGAACACCTACGTGACTTCCCACGTCTTTAGTCGCTTTGTCAAATTAACCAAAGTTTCAAATGGGTACTGATTGATGAGGTTTTGGAAGGATAAAGTAGCTTTTCTATCATATTGTGTTTTTTATCCTGTTTGCGTGTTGTAAAGTTAGTGAACATATTTTATTGACCACAGCAGGGCAGCTGTAAAGTACTTTCAGGGTATTTCCAAAGAGCTTATGTTGGTTATGAGATAACTACAAATACTGATTAAATGGCTTTGCCTGGCAACGCAGGTTCACTTTCTTTTTATACTTAAAGCCAAGAAAGGCTGTTCTCTATTATTTTTCAACCAGTGTGAATCTCAAGCTCTTCAGTTCAATTCAGTTTATTTATATAGCGCCAAATCACAACCAAGTTGTCTCAGGACACTTTACAGGAACGCACACATGCATAGAAAAACCAGTTAGTAAAGTTCTCTGTCTAAGGAAGCCAGCAGACACGTTGAATCTTCACTTCGTCGCTGTCTTCCATCCTGAGCAAGCGCAGTGGCAACAGTGGAAAGGAAAAACTCCCTTTTTAAAAGGAAGAAACCTCCAGCAGAACCAGGCTGAGGACAAGCGGCCATCTGCTTTGACCGGCTGGGTTTGAGAGGCGCAGGAAGGAGAGACTGACGAACACGGAATGGTAGGACCAGATGTAGGTGCAGGTGTACCTGAAAGACAAAAACACGTCGTCAAAGATAGGAAAAATAAAGATACAAAACAGGTTGAGCAGAGTAAGTAAAGATGGTAGTATGGTGAAGAAATGTGGTCAGTTTGTCCTCCAGCAGTGCAAGCCTATAGCAGCATAACTAAGGGATACCTCAGGAAACCCAAGTCAACCCAAACTATAGGATTTATCAAAAAGGAAAGTCTTAAGCCCAGTCTTCAAATTGGACAATGTGTCAGCCTCACAGACAGAAACTGGAAGTTGGTTCCACAAGAGAGGAGCCTGATAACTGAGAGATCTTCCTCTCATTCTGTTTCTGGAAACTATAGGAACCACAAGTAAATAAAATTACCTTATATAATTGTTTAACTCAAAACACAAGTAGGATATCTGTCTCATATTTCCTACTTTTTACATACAGTCTAGGTTTGTCAGTGTTTAGCAGGCTGTTGCAACGAGTCTTTGGCGTGTTAGTTCTGCTGCTTGTTTCATTCAAAACTGTGTCAGAGTGGGGAAAGTCTTTAAGAAGCTGAATATGAATTCAGACTTGCCCCAACAAGCCCCATGATCTGTCGACCATATGCTAACCAGTTTGACTTGCTGCTTTATTGCGTTTGAATCTATGAAAAAGTTCACGAGAGAACATTTTTATTAATGTTTTTGCCTGTCTGCCTGTGTATTCATTTGTTTGTAGTGTTAGTAAAATATTTCATGAACCAGTGGATGGATTTAAGTAAAACTTTCCGATAATTTTATTGGAGATTTTCAGTGTTTTCTTCTTACTTATGCATCTTTTTTTAATGGCTATTGTGTTATTAACGTTTGCTGTATACTAGTCATTAGCAAGTAACATAATATGTGTAATGCTTTCAGGCAACTGTATTTGCTTTCCATTATTGTGTTTGTGGTCAAATAAAAGAGCGGGATCTCCGAGCATGTGACAAAAATGTCGGTCTCAGTGGAGGAAAAATAATTTCTTGTAGGATGTGAGCTTTACTGTTGTCATTAAGCTGGATGCATAGAACAGATATGCACAGTCCACACTGTGTAACTATTCTGTCTTTAATGAAATGTTACCGAGTTGTAAAAATGTGTTTCTTCTGTGCAGGTTGTCAGCATGCTACAGTGAGTGATGTACCCGGTGTTTATATTAACAGTGACCATGACCGTGTCGGTGGTGCAAGGGTGCTCCAGTTCAGAGAGCTGCAGCACAACACCAACACCCAACGCAACTTCTAGAGACTACTGTTACTCTGCTCGAATACGCAGCACAGTCCTCCAAGGACTGCCGTTTGGTGGCGTGCCTACTGTCCTTGCCCTTGACTTTATGTGCTTTTTGGTGAGTATTTAGATGTCATGTCCTAGTGGTTTGATAGAGAATTCATAAACAAGTCCTGATGCTGAATTGCTAATCTGTGCATTTTAAGCAAAACACTTCCAGGAAAGCGTTTGGAAATGATTTTCACCACGGTGCGGTTCTGTAACTTTTGTGTTGTTGGTTTTTGTGTACCATAAATAACGGTAGGAGAGGCGTTAACAAGCGCTGTTCGTTTTGTTCCTTCAGGCGCTGCTGTTCGTGTTTTCCATCTTGAGGAAAAAAGCATGGGACTACGGGCGCCTTGCCCTGGTGAACGATGCCGACAGGTAACCCAGATCTCACAGCGTGGTTTACATGTCGAGGCTTTCTTTCATGCCACAGTGAGGGTGTTTATATTAACAGTGACCATGACCGTGTCGGTGGTGCAAGGGTGCTGCAGCTCCCTGAACACCAACACCCAATGCAACTTCTAGAGACTACTGTTACTCTGCTCAAATACGCAGCACAGCATAGAGATCATGAGAAACTTCAAATCATGGCCCATTTTTAGTAAAAAAAATCCATCATGGCTGAGATTTGTTTTATAAACATATTTCCTCAAGAGACGTTTGCAGCAATAATAATACTTGGAAGATATCATCATTTGTAATAAACAACAGTGTTTACTCGTCAAATAATTTGTCTTGCAAAAAACAGCTCTTGACATCTTGATGTTTATCCCTGCAATGTTTGGTCATTTAGGTACCGAGCCAGCTCAGGAGGTCCCAGACTGTGGTCTGGCTTATACAAATATAAGACATTCTTACAGAAGCTGTTGTATTATGACACACAAATAGTCTGTTGAACACTAGAACTGCAACTGTTGTAAACCTTTTTGTTGGGGCAGCCTCTCAACAGCAAATTAAAATGATCAAATTAGGAAAAATTGGGTTTACAAAAGTAACAAAAGAGGGAAAATTGTGTCACTAAGATGACTTTAAAGGTACTCGTAATGTCTTAAAGCAAGAAACTAAATCTGCACTTTTTGTTTTTAACGTATCAGTAGTTAATATGTCCTTAAATCCCAAAATTTGTAAGCACTTTTTGCAAATGGCTTCAAACTACCTTTACCTAGGGAAAGAGCTGAAGTGACTGAAAATAGGTCAACAATGGTTACATCCATGGAAAAGTCTGATCAATTTTAATGCATAAATATGTACATTTGTATACATGTATGTATATGTATTTATAAACACATATATGTACATATTTACACTTTATTACATAAATTATGCAGGTAAAAGTGCTTTCTTTATATTTATTACGTCACTGAACTGTAACATGGCACTATGAGTACCTTTAACTCTCCTGCTGCCCCTGGGTCAAAATGAGGTCACACTTATAAAAGTGATTTCTTGAGGTAGCAGAAACTGTCCAGGACTAGAAATTATTTTCCTTTTATGTGTATTCATGTTCTTCCATCCCTCTTATTTCCCATTATTGCAGACTAATCAGATAATTGGGCTTGTAAGAGTGGTCTTAAATGAAACTTGCACAAGTGTATATTATCTCAGCCATCGGTTATCATTTTAGTTATTTGTAAACCTGCATAACTTTAATTATTAGAGACCCTTGTTGGTCTGTTGTTCAACGACACACTGGATGAGTACTTGCCACTTGCTGGTTGTCTTTTTGTTTTCTTGCCACGAGGGCTGCTTTTAATTTTCTGAGCAAAGCAGACATCACAAGGTCAGTACACGAGTCAGGAAGACTACGTCAGCAGATTTCCTTTTAATGCACTTTGACATGAATTTTGTCACCAGATGGACTGGATTGATTGAGTAAGCTGTGGTGTAAAGAAATTAAATAAAAGATTACTGGTAGGTACAATTAGTAATTTCAGTGCGCCCTTCTTTTAAAGAAATTTAGACTTCCAATTTTAATGTTAAATGTTGACACATGTTGGAATAATCTGAGTTTGAATGATGAGAATTGCAGAGGGTGGCACAGAGGTGCAGTGGTTAGAGCTGTCATCTCCAGTGGGAAGGTTGCTGGATTTCAGTGTGGTGTTTACATGTTCTCCTCTCTGGGTATGCTACTTTCCTCACACAGACTAAAAACATGCATGTTAGGTTAATTGGTCACTCTAAATTGTCCCTAGGTGTGAGTGAGAGTTTGAAGGATTCTTTGTCTCTTTGTGGTTTTGTGATGAGCTGGCGACCGGTCCAGAGAGTACCTCTCCTCTAGCACAGTGGCGGTTGAAGATAGACACCACCTCCCTCGACCTGTAAAAGGCGGGTAAAGAAGATGGCTGGATGGAAGCTGCCATAGAGATTCATGTGAAGAGGAATTCACCTCACAGCTCTCGAGACCAGAAACTACAGACTTCCTTAATTGTGAACCCTGGAAAATTCTTGACACAGTGCTCCATTACCTACATCCTCCAGCTGTGGTTGTGTTACGTTGCAGCCACACTATTTTTGCAGCTGCGTGTGAGCAAAGAATAGGACTGAAGCGTGGTGGGAGGATGGGAGGGGGTGGCAGCATGGGACACTTTTGTCAGAGACAGGATATGAATTTGTTTTCTCGTTGCTCTGCGTTGTCTTTTAGTTTCAATGTAACGACTAAAGAAACTTGGACGTTTATCGATTTGACAAACGCAAGCTGTTTGTTATATAAAACACAACACTACCTCAAATAAAAGAAGTAGTTGCTGAAAAAACTGTATTTATAAGGAAGAACGATGTTTACCAGGCTGAACAGAAGCCTTCTTTGGTGTGGTCGTAGAATATGTCTCTTTAAATTTATTTTTTCCTAAAACGTCACTTTTTTTGCTGTCAACCTTTATCCTCTTAGCTAAAAACCTTTATTTTTATTCTATTTTTCAGCAGAGTAGCGGAACAGCGATACAGTCGTTTGGATGATCGAGATTAGTATGTTCTCCTGTCACATCATAGACTCGCTCCTTTTTCTCCTTTTTCTTCTGATTAACATAATTCGCAGCTCGTTTCTCTTCTGCTCGTTCTGCTGTGAGTTTCAGCCTGGTTTTAACTCTTGGTGGTCTTGGTTCATGTTCTTGCAGACATTTCTTGGTTTCCGGTTGCTAACTACTCGTTGCTCTTGTACTTCTACTCCTGGGTGTCCCTGTCCTCTTGCATTGCCATAATCAGATCTGTGTGTGCTAATCTGTGTATTGACCTCTTTATGAAGCATGAACTTCTCCTGTGTGAGCGTGCCGTGTGAGCCACACAAACAGGACACGTACAGGGAGAGGTAATGTTCCCTGATCTGTGGTTGTTTTTAGACGGGCCCATACATGACATTATTCTGTCTAGTAGAGCTGAGATAACCTTTTGCTCATTCTCGCAGGAATGTGGGAGAGGAAGACTGATGATTCCAGCCTCAGGCTCGCTCTCCTTCATCCTCTCTTAGAGCTCTTAGTCATCATACTTTCACGTAGGAATCTTAATAATTTCCAACAGAGCGCAAGTCCTGCTTTAAATTTTCCACATGTATAGATTACGTCATGCTGTGTTTAATAAATGTCATAAATAATAAATTATAGGTGCCTTGTTGCATCCAAAGAACTTGTGGCTCTGCTGGACACGCTTCATACACTCACCTCTTGTCTTACTGGGTTTGTTTGTTCCTCTGTAATGTTTTCTACAGAACTTTTCCCTCTAATGAATTCTACACTCATCAGCTACTTTCTTATGTGCATCTGTTCAGTTGCTTGCTAACGCAAATAGCTTATCAACCAATCGCGTGGCAGCAACGCACTTAGGTGGAGAAGAGTGCTGAAGTTCAAACTGAGCATGAAGACTGAGAATGGGAAAGAAATGGGATGTAAGTGACTTTGAAGGTGGTATGGTTGTTGGTGTCAGGTGGACTGTTCTGTCGTTCAGAAACAACTGATCTGGGATTTGTTTTAATTCACACCTTTGAAGTTTTGTTTAGGCCTGTCACAATAGCAAATTTCGCTGGGCGATTAATCGTCCCGAAAATTATTGCGATAAACGATAATGTTTGAAAATTGACATTATTAATTGTCAAATTTAAGAAGAAATGTTGGTTAATTTGTTTTGAGTTTAGTACCTGTTTTTGACCACCGGATGGAAGTATAAGACTGTTTGAACCGAAGGATGGTGAGGGAGCGAGCAGCGTCTCTTTAAGAAAAATGGGAGGGAGGCCCCTTGACGTGACATGGGCTGTCTCTCTTCGTTTCTCAAAATGGCGGACGCTCGATTTGGTTTGAGCTCTTTAGCATTTTTCACACAAAGCTTTTAATAAAAAAAATCAGTAAACAAGTTCTCGGCTTCTTTTTGCAGAGAAAAACAACTTTTTAGACGAAGGCACAGGTTTCAACCGTTAATTTTTGAGCTTCGACAAGACGGAGGTTTTTTCCCCGAGGTTGGCCTGTTAGCTTCTCAGCTTAGCTGCTTTTAACAATCCAAAAACGCGATTTTTGTACGATTAAAACAGATTTTAAAGAGAAGGGGGTCGGGGGGGTAGTGAAGAGCACCGGAGTTTAACCTTTTGTCATCCAGTGTCTTCAGTAGAAAGAGAGAGACACGAAGAAACGATAAAGCTGATAAATGAAAATGAGATTGATCGTTTTCATTTATCATGCGATTAATTGATTTATTGTTTATTGCAACAGGCCTAGTTTTGTTATAATCGTGTGAGCCGTGTTTTTTTACGCTATACAGCACTTTGGTCTGTTGTGGCGTTTGAAAGTGCTTTACAAATGAAGTTGGATTGGATTTATATTTATAGAGATTCATCACACAAGGTTATATGTTTCAATCTTTTATTGTCCAGTTTTGGTGAGCCTGTGTGAACCGTCACTTCAGGTTCCTGTTATCTGTCGGGAGTGGCACCTGGTATGGCCTTTTGCTGCAGTTGCCTATCTGCTTCAAGGCTGAGCGTGTTGTGCATGAGATTGTTGTAATGACTAATTATATATTTTCTCTATTTTGGACCGTTCTCTGTAAACCCTAGAGATGGTCGTGCGTGAAAATCTCAGTAGATCAGCAGTTTCTGGAAAACTCAGACCAACAACTACCACAGTCAAAGTCATTGAAACCACCTTTTTTCTGTTCTGATGCACAGTTTTAACTTGGACAAGTCACCTTCGCTGCGTTTAGATGCCTAAATGCTTTGAGTTGCTGCCATGTAATCACATGGCCAATCGGCCAATTAGCTTTGTTAACGAGTAACTGAACGAGTGTATGAATAAGGTAGCCGGGGAATGTATTCTAACCTTTCTTTGGACGGTGTTGGTGACCTCGGTCTGTGTAGTTTTTTCCACACCTAGCTCTGCATGGAATGTGGCTACAGAAACTCCCCTTCTTGGTGGTGCGTTTCTGTACAGTTTGTGTGCAAATCTTTTGCTTTGAAACATGAAAAAACTAACGTTGACTTGCCCTATGAGATCCAGCTGGGTGGTGGTGTAACGTGATGCATATGTTTTTGTGTTTCTGCTGCCAGTATGGGTTCCACTGTGCCATCCGAGATATCTGAACGCTATGAGCGTCTCACCTCTGTGTCAAGCTCTGTGGACATTGATCAGAGAGACTACGTAAGTAGAACAAAGATGAAACATTATAATTGTTTAAACGAAATGTGCTGTCCTTGTCTGAGAAAACATTTTAATTCACGTTTTTTTTTTTTTTAATTTGACTTTAGGGCTTCTGCTCCTGGCTGACTGCCGTCTTTCGCATCAAGTGAGTCAGCTCCCTCACAGATCAAAGCAAACATGGGATTTTTGGTTTTATGGTTTTATTTACTCTGGAGTTGCTTCTGTTTTTATTCATTTGCTTATTTTTACAGGGAGGACGAGATCAGGGAGAAGTGTGGTGAAGACGCAGTGCATTACTTGTCTTTTCAGCGTCATATCATTGGCCTGCTGGCCATCGTGGGTGTACTATCTGTGGGCATCATCTTACCTGTTAACTTCTCAGGAAACCTGCTAGGTGAGATGATTTAATTTTGATCTTATACAAAACAACACTATAATATTTTTGGTTGTGTTTTAAGTTATTTTCTGCCGCTAAAGGCGAAAAGGCGAGAATCGTCTTGCTCATATCTGTTTGTGTTTTGTCCTGTTAGCAAAATATCCCATGATCCGCTGGACGGATCTTATTTAAACGCTCAAAGTATCAGAAACTAAAACAAAAGCTGGTTTCAATCATAATCAAGACGACTGCCACAGCTAATCAACGCAAACCAACATAAATAAATGTAACTCGGTCAGTTTCACAGCTGTTTAGCTAAAATTTGTTGTTAGTAGTTGACAGTCATTTATAACATGAAGTGATCATCGTTTGGGCTCACGCATCATGTTTTCACAGTTTGACCAAAATGGCTACAACACCATCATTTCTATAAGATGATGTTAGTCTGAAACTCTGGCATGAAAGGCAGCAGGTGATAGGCATTACTTCGATGAACGTGGAGTTTTATTATTTTTCTTCTAAGTTTTGGGTTTTCTTTTGTTTGTTCTTTTAGTTTTCTTCATAAAATCATCTGAACAAATTAAAAACCTTTGCAACCTTTATTAACATGTTGACCGTTTAAATGAAAACGCTTCCTCAAGGACAGCTTCCTGTGTGTTTTCAACACTTCCCTCAATTTATTCTATAACATATTAACATGAAATGTAAAGGTTATGTTAGATTTACACTGCGATAAATGTGTAACTTTTTTTATGGTAGCAGTTGAGTGCTTCTGGTTGCATTTTTAAAAATATTAATTAATTCATTCAACCTTATATATTAACGTATATATAATATTTATATTATACTTCATATATATATATCAGCCTGTTACCGATCTTGGGGTAGTTTTAGATGCAGACTTTTAAGTTTAATAAGCAGATCAACTCTGTTCTTCAAAAAAGCTTCTTTCAGCTAAGGCAGATAGCACAGATGGCAGCACAACGGCTCAGTGGTTAGCACTGTTGCCTCACAGCAAGAAGGTCCTGTGTTCAATCCCCAGTTGGCCCTGGGGTCTTTCTGTGTGGAGTTAGCATGTTCTTCTCGTGCTTGCGTGGGTTTTCTCTGGGTACTGCGGTTTCCTCCCACAGACCAAAAACATGCATGTTAGGCTGCTTCAGGCCCAGGCTTCCCTTACAAGAGATCTGTGATCTCAATGGGATTTGCCTGGTTAGATAAAGGTTAATA